ATTTCTTTACCTGTTGTTGTAGTTGCAAAGAAAGGTCACGTTAGAATAGGAGCTTTTTTGCTTTCCAAGTAGTCTCCTGCACTGTGCTTGAGAGGGCTGTAGGCAGGGGAATCATCATTCAGCTACTGTGACCTGGATTGTGAAATTCCAATCTCTGCCTTCCTGCTAATAGCTACTCGGTTTTGAAACCTTAAATTGCCATTGTCAGTGGCTATGGAACAATTTAAAAATCTGACCTACACACAGATGTTAATTGTATCTTTAACTTCAGTCCTCAGAAATGCATCCCAGACTGCCCTATCTGTAGTGTCTGTGGTGTTTGTACTGTCTGCAGCCATCCCTAGGTAGCCCTTCCTTGGCTCTTTCTAGCAGTAAGGCTTCTTTCTTCAAGTATATGTTGAATCATTTGCAGCAAGTCTAAAAATTGCCCTTGGAACATAAATGTTTTACAGACCTTGTCTGCTTTGTGTCCACCAAGTCTTTCATCGTACCGTCCAGTTCTTTCATCTTGCATTTTTCCTTTTTTCTGCATTCTTGTTTTTCAAAAGATACTGTGGTTTGATCTCTTGGATGTTTTAGCAGGATTTTTCACAAATACTGCAGAGAACATGATTAGAGTCACCGTATCCTAATGTCTGTTTCATCACCTCCTCGGGTGAGCCATATGCCTTAGAGGGAGGAGCTGCCTGCTGCTTGTGTTATGTAAAATAATAAATAATTTATAATGCTAACTGAAAATATCTGCCTTGGTGGACAAACATACATTGAAGTGCTTGACAGGCACTAAATTAAGACATAATCAAAATAATTCCTTGAAGACATGGGAGAATAATTTGCTTTATTTGATTTTTTTTTTAAGTGGGGGAGCTTTCCTGTGCGTCTGTGCTTTACTCGAGAGTATTATTGACCCACTTTACGAAATTCTTAACTGGTGGATCAGTGTGAGCCGTAATGGAGGTCTGCAATATGATTCTGTGAATACTTAGCTATTTTACTGAAAGCAGCTTTTCTGACATACTACCTTGTTGCTGATACCAGCACCTGCTCCAATAAAGAATCACATGAAGCTTTGGATCATGTGGCTCTTTCCTCTCGTCTATCATAACAAAAGGATTAATGGATTTTGTGCACCGCCTTAGAAGGCTGAAGGTGTTGCAGTATACTAACAAATGCCAGTTTTAGTGTAGCTTTGAAGCTATGATGAATGCATGGAATGTCAAAGAACTGCATCTAGGTACTGAGCGTGGTAATTTAACGTTAGTGCTTGCTGGTATGAATTGATAAACTTCTGCAAGTTATTTTGTTTTCAAGCAGAGACTGTTAGTGTCTATCATATGGACTCTACCTGCTTTTCCAATTTTTATCTTTGGACATTAAAAATTGTGTAAACAGAAGAAGCTTGTGTCAACATTCCTCTTCTCAATGTAATTGAGTATTTCTGCAGTGAATAGTTAATGATGATCTGCTTTGCAAGACATAAATGCGGCAGTGACCTGCTCTCGTTTAGATGTTGCGGTAGTAGAATGGTGGGGCTTTGCATGATGCACGCTTTCATTGTGTTAAGCTGCTTGCATGAGTCTGCTGTGAGCTGGATGAGTTGTCTCTGCATCAGTTGTAAAGGAATACTTATTTTCTGTTTATTCTGACAAATAAGTATTCTTGATGTAATTTTCATTTTTTCCCCTTGGCTATTAAAGCATAATTGTCTGAGACCATTTCATGAACATGATCTGAAAATGCACATGCTTTAGATTCATGTTGTGTGCTGTTCAGTCTGCTGTTCCATCTGCTGAATTGGCTCCTTGGTTGTGAGTAGTTAAAACTGCCTAAATGCTTTTTATGTAGCACCTTTTTATTGGGAGGGTTTAGAGGCTGATAACTGCATACAGTGGATAGCTATATATGCTGTTTTGCATACAATTGTGAAGCATGGATACGCTGTTTAATGGAATTATTAATCACAAGCATAAATGACAGTCAGATAAACATACAGCTGAAAAGGTACCTTAAAAATCAAGTTACATATTCATATGGAAAGGTTTTTTTTCTTTCACCCTCAGCATTTATTTTGTGAACTAAATTAACTGAGAATGGACTGTATGGGTAATACTGGAAGAAAAGGATTTAATTCAAATGTAGAATATAAGTTACCGAATTTTCTACTTCTAAGATTACATCTATTCTTGTAAGTTCTAGAATAATACTGTTAAGATGTGACTTTGATTAGGTCTTCAAATAGAGAAATTCAGAAATTTCACTTTCCAGGCTTAAATCCAGGTTTTGCATAGGTGTGTCTTTCTCACTTAAAGGAGAAAGCAATCAGAAGACGTTTGCTGTCCTTAGCTAAAATGCTCTGACATCAATGCCATCGATATTTTGGCTCCATTTTAAAATTGATCTGTTCATTAAGTTATACCCTATTTAAATGAAATTTTACCTTCTTTCTAGTGTGTACAACTTACAGAGAAGATAGAATGAGTCCTCACTGTCCAACTAACTGTAGTAAAAGCACATTCAGAGTCATCTTAATATTTGTAGCATATGATTAAATAAACACTGAAGATTTTTTTTTTAGATATGCATTTAAAGGAAATCTTAAAAGAAATGTTTCATGCTTCAAAGTGTTGTGTGACTTATAAATTGCTCTTTTGATGTTTATGCTCGTTAAACACTTCTGAAACGAAATAATTATATGCCCAAAACTCTTACTTCTCACTTTAACAATCCTTTTATTCCCTTACCTGCTTCATTTTTATTTGTCAAGCCTTTGGAGGACTTAAAAAAAAAAAAAAAATCCGTAAAAAGAGCCAAAAGCCCTTTCTTGAGCATTTGCAAAAAAAACCTAATGAAAGCTTCATTCTTTGATTTGTCATACTTAAAATTACAACCCAGTGAATTAAGGTATAATCTTTGCACTGATTGCAAATTGCATTGCAATTCAAAATGTTGTCTAATATCCCAAACACATTACCAAAGCCAGGTATACTGTTTAACTCTTGAACTGATGTGCTAAAAAAAGCCCATGTATCCAATGTGAATGTTTTAAAATATCTGTTGGGATAGGCTTTTTATTTAAAAGCCAAGCTTTAAAACAAGTAGTAGGACTAATTCTTAAAAAAATGAGCTTTTAGCATTTTGGCTGCTATTTTTCTAGGACTCTTGCTCAGTATAAAGTAGCTTTAAATGCATGATTTACAGCAGAAATTACTAAATAATTAATACATCCCTATAGTATTACTTAGTAACGAAACTATGTCTTTTGTTCTATCATTTCACTATAAGCTGTCATTAAACATAAACTTCTATTTCTGCTACTTCAGATAAGTTGTAGTATTTCTAATTTTGTGCTAAATTAAGCAATGAACTTAAGATATGCCTTATTAAATCTTTAGAATTTACAAGTGCCCTCTTTTTTTTAAGTTGATGATCACTTCCACCAAGACTTTTGGAGTACCTTTTTCTAACTACATTTGCATTTCTTAGTCGTACTAATGTTTCAATTCCACTTCTACTTTTGATACTCAACCTGTTTCTCTTCGGTTTCCTTCACACTTTCTTGTCTTCCACCTCATTCTTTAAATGGGCCAGATAGAAATTGACTCTTGGCTCCTTCTTGCTTGGTTTTGCTGAATATTCTCATTCGGTTGTGTTCATTCAGGAATTATGCTGACAACTCTGGGACTCACATTTTTCAGTCATACCTTAATTTCTCTAAAAAAGTGTTTCTCTGCCACTGTTGCTTTGTAACCAAAACATACGTTATTTGTCCCACACATTGCAGTATTGTCCAAATCCCACTGTTTTAATCAACACTTCAACTTTTTGTCCTTTCTCCTTGCTTTTAATACTCTTTAAGTTCGTTTGTATATTAATTTATCAGCACTCTCCTGCCTTCCCAAAGCCTATGCACTTTCATTTTTTTCCATAAAAAGTACAACAGCTAGAATTTCATCATTACTTCTTCTATATAATTTGTTCTGTCTCCCCTTCTCCCTGCCCCATCTGAATTTCTATGCTACTGCAGAATTTATTTCTGTCAAAAGTCCTTCATAATGTTGTCACTGTCTACTTGATCAAACTCATTTACTAATAGTATTTCAAATATTGCTCTGAACCATCCATTTATTTTTTACATTCTCTTACAGGGTTTTTCTTTCCTTTTGTTATGTGCAGGCCATTTAGATTAACCTTTAGGGAAATATTTTTCTTCCAGTTACTCAGTACCTGCTTCTGTTTGGTTTGTGAGGAAATTTTTCAAACTTTATAATTTTAGATCTTTTTAATATTACTTTAATCAAGATATGGTTTTCTTTTCTTCTCTCTTTTCATTATTTAATTATTTACTATTATTGTCTTCTCCCTCTTGCTTTTAGTATCTCACCTTGTTTTATATAGACTTCTGTTCATTGTAAAAAATAATTTCAATCCAGTATAAAGAATTTTGCTAAAGAAGCCTGGAACAACCCATAAAAAGCCCCAAAAAGGTTGATAGCAGTAATCGTTTGGTTTTCTATGATCTCTACTTTGTTACTTTAAAAAATAAAATGTCACTATTTGAATGATGGGAAGCATTGACTGAGGCTTATTGTCTTCAAAATGAACCATGTTAACCCCCTGTTTAATTGTAGAGTACTGTATGTTTTTGAATGCTGTGTGAAAATTGCTTGGTAGGGATTACATAAACCAAAATAATGGAACATTGTCCCCTTTTTGAACCCTTAAATATATGTTATGTTGTTCTTTTGGGGGAACATAGTAGATTGTAGATAACTAATTTTTTACAGATCATTACGATAACAAAAAATAGATTCATAGTAACTTTACAGATGCTGCATCAATATCTTAAATGTGCAGACACAATTTGCATTATTAAGCCCCTGCTGCTTCCTGACATGAAACAAATGGACTGGTTTCAGAGGAAATTACATTAATCTTGCTTTCATGATTTCTTTTTTATTAAAAGCTTCAGCACTCTGGTTTTGTGTGTGGTTTGTTTTTAGACTGAATCTGGCTATGGATCAGAGTCAAGTTTACGACGTCATGGCTCCATGGTGTCTCTTGTTTCTGGAGCAAGTGGATACTCTGCGACATCCACCTCTTCGTTCAAGGTTAGTGAATAAAGTTTTCTTAGTATTGGCGCATAAATAACAGCGGAACTGGAAAAGAAATAACTTTTGTGAAGACTCATTCACCTAATTATAAAAGAAATGCAAAATATTTGGTTTACTGTAAGTGTTAGTAATTCATCATATGATGATGAATAGATGATACAGGAAGCTTTCTTGTGCTTCTGTGCAGTTGTCCCTTTTAAAGTGTTGCATCATCTTCTAATGGCAAGAAAATCAAACCTGTGGGAGCATTAATTAACCTTTCCTAGTTTACTCCTCAGAATATCAGGGCCTCTAAATGAAAAAGAATACTGATTCTGTGACTTAATTTGATTAATGCTAATTGACAAAAGATGTCTTTCCTTGTCTATGCATATAAATATTTAACATATGAACTAGGGTGGGCTGTATTTCTGTGACAGCAGAAGAGGAGCAACACAAGGAAGGGGAGTAAAGATTGGAACAAAGATCTTAAACTAGACCTGACTGTTTTCAGGCAAACAGGATAAAGTTGATAGCGTACAAGACTGCATTTTTAATAAGCTTTTGCTGAATGCTCTAAACTAGCAGATGCAGTCAAGAGGTAAAATTGAGACCAGTGGACAAAATGTGAGGAACACTTGTATACAGTTTCTTACATTCTTCTAACATTAACAGTATTTCATAGCTGGTGCTATCTGAAATGTCTTTAGCGTACTTGAATTTGTTCTTCATAGCTGCAGAAATATTTTTTTTTTGTTTTGTATTGAACTATTGCTAAGTATGTAGAAGCATTTCAGGCTTTTTTGTCTCATATTTTCAGAAGGGCCATAGCTTACGTGAGAAGCTTGCAGAAATGGAAACCTTTAGAGACATCTTGTGTAGACAAGTTGATACTTTGCAGAAATACTTTGATGCCTGTGCAGATGCAGTTTCCAAAGATGAACTCCAGAGGGATAAAGGTAAAACTGTAACTGAAAACTCTTACCTCCATAGAATTTAGCTTTTTACACAGTAATAGCCCTTGAAATAGTTACTAAAGCATTTGATGCCATATAAATATGTATCCTAAATTTAGTTTTTAGTATAGGGATTAATCGTAGATATTTCTGTATAAACAGTGTTAACTATTTGCACTTCAGAAAAAAATCTACTTGACTTAATATTAACCTGTAGCTGTCAACTGTACAAAAAAAATGCTCTTTTCAGCATTTGATGTTATAGAACAGTAATTATTTACCCTCATAAGATGAAGTAGAGTTAGTTTGTCGGTGTGTCTCTTACCTTTTATTTTGAAAAAACAATAGAATATTAGCTTTGTTAGAAACTATATTCTTTTGAGAAGGCAAAGGTGCTGCTATAATGAATGCTCCTGAAATGTACTGTCTGGAACTAGAGCACTGAGAGCACACTTGAGGCCCTGGTAGACTCAGATGTGGATGTCTACGTATCTCTGAATTGCCCTTTGCATAGTGCAGCTTGTTGTATACACGCACTCTCCTGAGACATTTATGTTCATCCTTGGGCTTGTTATGGCAGCCTGAGACTTTTGGTAGTAAGAAGCCAGTGTATAAGCACAATTCCACTTCTTTGAGAACTTGCTAGTGTAGAAGAGTAGATAGTTGCTTAATTGTGGCTCCCTGCTTATCCAGATGTAACACCGAAATAATGTTGTTCTTACCATAGAATCAATTGCTAAACTTCAACACTGAGCAAATGTTAGTCTCCTGATAGTTTCTGGCAGTAATGTTTATAATGGTCTCGGGACAAAAAAAATAAGGTGGGGGGATGTTCATGACTGTTGTTGTAAGAAAAAATCTTAAATATTGCTTAGCCATGAGGATGCTCTTAATTCTTTCTTGCACACTAAAGAATTGGAAAAGCTTTCTCACTCCTATAACACACTGTTTCTGAAATTTAGTGGTAGAAGATGATTCCCTACAATGCGTTCAGATGGGGATTTTTTACATAACAGTAACAGCAGTAAGGAGAAACGTAAGTGTGTCCCAACTTTTTCACTGAAAATTCATATGAATGGTATGATGATATGCCCAATACAAGATGACTATTTACGCTCTTTTTCTAAGGAGAAAATGTCAACAACAGTTATTTAAATGTATGTGACAGGAAGTTCTTATTTATGTTACAATTCGTTAGCTGCTTTTCATGATTCGCTGAGTTATTCTTAATCTACACAAATACTAATGCAAGCTTGTCAAGCTGGAAATTCCTATTCTGTGTCCAAAGCCATTTTCACGATCTGTTGAAACAACTGCATCATTCAGATATTGAGAACTGAGATTTGTAACAGGTTAATTGCAGTTTTTCTTGCAAGTGTTACCTGCTTTAGGAGTGTGGTGGAGCACAATGCTTCTCCAGCTAGGTATGTCACAGTTTGGTGTTCCCAAGTTCTATGGCTACATAGTGGTTAAGCAAACACTGTTACTGATTCTCAATCATCATAATTTTAGCACTTTTTACTGTATTCTCCATTGTTATGATGAACAGAATTCTGATTTTTATTCTTATCTTAAATGATCTAGTTATTGTACTCATTGCATCCGTGCAGTTAATGTGAAGAACTTGTGCAAGTCTTGCTGTTCTAGAAACCTCATATTTCTGGTCTGGCAGAAGTCATGCATTTGAAATCTATTTGCATTTTTCTTAAGTTTTCTCTTGTTTCCTGACTGAAGTATTTTAGTGTTTCCATTCTCTACATGTTGACAATTCAGTTAGTCCTTAGGTGTTTCTAAGACTTTGATTCACAAAACTTTGAAGTTGCACTACCTCCAGTTTCAAATCCGATGGAATCTCCCAAAGAACTCGCCAAAAGTGTTTTTGAAAATATAAACACTTACATCAAGAACCTGGAAAATGTAGGGGGAAAATAAGCCTTTTCTGTGTCCACTGTTTTCTTTTTAATTGGCTACTGTCCCCATGTGTTATATCTTTCCTTGGTGTATTTAAGTGCTCTTTCTGGAGCATAGCCAAAACCTTTGCAAGGAAAGAGGAAAGGAAATTGAAGGAGCTTTCAGCATACTTCTAGAATTCATCATATGAGTAGATTTCTTCAGTTATATAAAGTGCTTGCTCTACTGAGGATTAATTGTAATGCTTATTTCAGAGGTTAAGTAGCATATAACTCTGAAGTTTTGAATAAATCTTTCTTGCCACGTAAAACCAAAGATAAGCAAGCTTGCAAAGCTCACCTGTAAGCACTAACGTGTGAGCCCTAAGCTCGCCTATTCCACTAACCCTATTGCGTATATAAAAATGTACTTTTTTTGGAGGACTGTTAAGTCAGAACAAATTTCATGGAACTGAAAAAGGCTTCTTTAAAAAATGTTAAGTTAGAATTTAATTTTACTGCATGATTCATTTTGAAAGAGATATCTTTGTCAAACTTAATTTTTGTAGGATCATGTAGGAGTTTCAGCTTAATTTACCTTTAGAACATTTCTTCATATCTACATTCTTCTGGTGTATCTGCTATATATACACATATGATATGGGGAATGTCATTAGGAAAGTCTATATTTTTAGTACATCTGGTCATCTGAGAATATTTAAATGCAAAGTAAGTGACTTCATTTTTTTCATCACCTGTTTACCAGGAATTTGAACTGATACCTATATTCCTCTTCTAAAAAAGTTCTGTATCAAGTCTTTGGGAACTTACGTGCTAGGAAATTCCTGTGTGTTGTGGGTACTTGTATATAAACTCATACGTAGCTCACTACAGAAAATAATTTCTGCAACCACTTGCTTTTTGCAGAACTTCTGATTCCAGTTGTTATGATTCCCGATTCCATTAAATTTACTTTCCATCAATTATTTCTATGAAAAGCTATATCTCCATTTTAGTTTTTCTGTGCCTTAGTTTGATTTCCTAAGGGCTAGAACCATTAAATATTTAGTAGCTGACTGCTGCAAAGCTTGATTAGAAATGAAAAATTGGAGTCTCTGCCCTCAAGTGGAATCATAAGTCGTAAGTGATGCAGTGGGGGAAGCAGATCTCTCAGGTTGAGATAGCCATGTCCAGGTATTGGGCAGAAAACTGCTCAGACTAACTGATAATAAAAGATTTATCTTCAACTTCACTGTTTTCTAAAGCTTAGCCTCAGAGCAGCTGTTAAGATTCTTTGGTTTCTCAAATTTCAGGTTTGTTTCTTGAAGTCTCTGTCCAGTCCTGGAAGGACTGGAACGATCTTTTTAACTGTAGCTGAGAAGTGATTGCCTGTTTATTCTGGGGCTGTTCTGCAGTCAGTGCTCCAGAAAGTGAGAAGCATGGATTCAACCTCTTATTTAGCCTACTATAATAAGAAGGAGTGTTTAAGTCTATTGTTCTAACCGCTAGGGCACCAATCTAATGCTCGAATCATTAGATTTAAGACTGACTTAAGGGACCATATTCACATTGTCTTTTGAACTTGGTTCCCCTCTGCACTTGCGCTGGGTAGGAGGAGAAAGTTAACGTGACTGTAGAGATTTGTGTACTACTCTGAAGACGACGTTTTGGATACGGAGGCTTTTTCTTTTCTGTGTTCTCTAGGATCTTTCAATGAAGAGGTAGGAAGAAAGAGTACTATGAATCTATTTAAATTTATTCGTCACTTTCCAATTAAAAAATTTGGTAACTGAAACAATGATAATTTGTATAAAACGCCAAGGGAGAAGCTGGTTGATGCATATTTATCCATTGGGATCTTACTCTAACAATGTAGAATCTTGATCAGGAATTGTTCCCATCCATCCACTCAGGAAGATGAGTGTATTTGGATTTAAATTATGTAAGAATAGGAAGAGCAGGTGAAACCTACTTAAGGAACCTCTTGGAAGATGGAAGGTGGTTTTGTACTGGAACTATAAAGGTGGAAATGGTACAGAGGCTGAAGGAGAGAAATTTGATGTAAACCACAGTGGGATTTATGATGGATTTTTGTGCTTTGAATGGAGGAAGAATATTTGTCAACATATTGCTGAAATAATGGGGTTGCTCTCAGAGGAACACTAGTCATATTGATCCTACTGCTATCCACAGAAGATCAAAACCAGTAGGTACCAATAAATGGGTCATGTACCTGAACATTTCTTTTTCACTTAGAATTAGTTTAGTGACATAAGATGTTGTGGTGGCATAGAATGGAAAAGATAAAGGAACTTTGTACTTACTGTCTTCAAAATAATTTTCTATTTCACTGGAAAACAGATTTGATCAAACACATGATGTTTGGGACATCTGGGAAGGCACTACAAACAGAATCTTAGGAACAAGAAGGGAAAACTGGCCTATCAGAGATAGAGGTGTAGGAAAGAAGGGCTACAGAGCTATTGAAGGCTAAAGGGTGGTATGAAGAATCCCTTACGTGAAAGGCAAGAGAAAGCAAATCAGAAATAAAGCAAAATGCTTAAAAGACAGGACAATTAAAAAGGAACCACTTGGAAGATGTTGAAATTGAAGTTAAAGTAGGAAAAAATCATCCTGCTGCGTTTTTCATTTGACTGCATGCAGTACGATCACCAAGCTAGAAGAGCAGCTGCAGTAAGAACACTTTTCTATTAGTCTTTACCTTGAACTGTATGGATCTCTTGATGCCAGATTTCATTTTGAAACACTCAATCTTGTAGATGACATGAAAAAATGTAAGAAAGGAATAGGAAAGATGTTCAGACTCTCCAAATAGAAAATCTCCTGACATACTTCTAATGTGCTGAAGCTCAACTGCTGCTGAGACGTGGCTTGAGGTAATTTTCTGACATGTTTCAGGAAGACAAATGTCACCTGTGATGAGGAATGAATCAAAATACTCCCATCCATCGTAAGGAATCTCTTGAGTGACCACTTCTTCAAAGAAACAGCTTTTGCATCTTTCTACACCAAGCTTGTTTTTGTCCAGAATTATAGCAGAAAGGAACTATGTACACTGACTTTAAAACTGCAAGCCTTGCATGTATCACTGCTACTTTAAGATTAGCCATTAAATAATGACTTAGAATAAATGATGACTGAAACTGTATGAAAATATTAATGAACTGTAGCTGAGACCTAAAGATACCCAGGAACAAAAGCTGGGGTTTTTTTTTCAGGAAATGAGGTTGCATTGCTGCATCTCCCTTAACAATCTACCATAGAGATTTCTGAAATTATTTTATAGTGTTGCAGCCAGTGGTAGTTTCTTCAGCATGTTACATAATTAAGAGAGAAAAATCACATCTATAAGCATTGTAGCTGTGCTTGTAAGCCTGCACATGAACACAGTCTACACCAACAGGACAAATTACTAGTATAAACTATTTTTAAGTCATGAAGTTTTATGGGTGAAGCTCTTTTTGTGTGCTTTTCATTATTCTCAGTGAATCCACTGCATCGCCTCCTTGCCAGCTTACACCACTTTCAGTCTCAGCCTCCTCCACGTTCCCTCTGCAGCTGTTAGGGGGAGAGAGAGCTGCTCTACTCATCATTGTTTCTAAAACAGATTTGTCTTTCTCTTACTTTCCTTTTTTTCTCCAGCCCCCATCATCTTTACCTTTTAGGGAATATTCTTGATTAACATGAAACAAAAAATAAGCTGTGTTCTACCACAGTATGTATGCTTATTGAGGTGTTTGAAGTAGTGTGTGGTCCGTCATCATCTGTTTGAAAAATAGTTTGATTCCTTCTGAAAGGAGGGTGTCTAAAACCTCTAGAGATTTTAAACATTGCTTAAGACCGTGTGACGATTGCTTTCTGTTCTCAAAGTGCAGATGCTATGCTCTACCATTAGAGAACAGCAATTGCATTTCTCTTCCATATGAGAACTGAGCTGCTTGAAACCTCTGCTTTGCCCTTGCAGACAGATATTGGATAAACTTACACAAATATTTGTCTTTCAAACCATAACAGTGGCATATTGACAAACTGGGGGGCGGGGGGGGAAGCGATATCCAGCTAGGTGATAAGTCATTAGCTTGCCCCATGGCACAGCAGGAGTTACTTTAACTTGCTGGCCTCAGTCAGCTTCAACATGAGTGTTACTTCTGCCTTCTAATATTTTCTGACATTAATGTGTAGTGTTTGATTTGTTATTATGTCAACCTACATATGAGTTTGACATATAATAGTTACTTTTTTTGGCACACATTTTAAGTGACTTGTTTAAATAGCCTTAGCAACAGATGGCTTGGTTGACAGCATGAAGTAGTTGTTGGAACTGCAAAACCCACAGTACTTGGATAATTCAACAGATTTGATACTTTTATCTTATATCATACCTTTTTACTTTGAGGTTTTTAAGTCTATAATTACTTGCTTAAAGCAACTTTGAATGTTACGTTTTGGGTTTGATTGCATTATGAATTTGTTCCTTTCTTAGTGCTGTATCAGATATGTTTTAAGGTTGCTCTGTGTTAATTAGTCCCCACTTCAAGCTGTCAAACTGCTATTGTTACAAAGTATTACCACTCCCTCCACCCACATGATTTGCAGAGTGCAGAGTAATACAGCATTACAAGCAGACTCGAAATACAGTATAGCAAGATGAAGCTGAAAGGATGTGCTCCTGCTTTTGAATCTCTTTCCTTATCCTGTGGATAGCTGAAAATTATTAGCACTTTTGATTTTTATTTTTAAATTAACTTTCTACTCAGTCTATTTTCTTCAAACAATTGTAATGCAAAGCATATATGTTAAATGCTTGTTTGAGTTAAAGGCAGCTGTCAGTGAATGATTCATATTTGGTTTTAGTGTTTCCGCATGTGACACCCAAAGGAATTAATGGCATAGACTTTAAAGGAGAAGCTATAACTTTCAAGGCAACTACTGCTGGAATCCTTGCCACACTCTCTCATTGTATTGAACTCATGGTAAAACGTGAAGAAAGCTGGCAAAAAAGGCTAGATAAGGTAAGATCATTTTCCTTTTACTTTTGTTGAAAAAAAATGTTTCTTTAGCTTGAAATTGAAATTTCAAATGAGCTGTTAACTTTTTTATTCCAGGTATTGCTTTTATTTTTATGTACAGCATTTATTAATTTTAGTTGCTTTCATTATTACTCCTATAAAACGTTAAAGCCTCATCCTGACTGGTGATATAATAACATTATTCATAGTCTCTCTTTTCCTAGCCCTTGTTCAGATAGTATTCCTATATTTTTTTATATCTATAGAGAATCTGACAGTATTCCATAGTAATAAGTGTATTGCTTCTAAAAGAGACCTAATTATCCATGCTTGCAAAATGATGTGCAAATCTCTGAAATGTTTTAGTTGTGATGAGAGATGGTGACAATACTGAGAACAGCTAATTCTAACTCAGATACAATTATTTCACCTTCCTTTAGGAAACTGAAGATATTAAGTCATGTTTTATGCTAATTGGCTAAATTTTTTAGGTGTGTGGTATTAGAATATCTGTTATTCTAATTGCACTGACAGTTTATGCTAGGCCTACTCAACCAGTATAGCAACTTGAAAGGAGTAGTGTCTTCTCTCAGGAGACGTGCGGGAGGCATGGCTAGGTTGTATGTCAGACATTGATTTCTAGAATCCTGCCATCGCTGTCTGGTGTCCTGTGCAGTCCTCTAGCTGTTATTGTCTCTTGTTTTTCATTTAACATGTTTTCATGTGATGTACATCACACTTCAGATCTTACTCCATATGTTTTAGTGGTACATGATTCAAAGAATGAATGCATTCAGGTAAAATACATCCATGTTTGAATCCTTGCCTCTGTCTCCTGGGTCGTCTTTGTCCATATGTCAAAGGCCTGGCCTTGTCTAACTGTATTGCAACTTCTGTCAACGATTTGTTACTGGTTCATCTAAGTAGTTGGAGGAATTACAGTGCATCCAAGACTTGAAGGTTGTTCATAGGATCATTGGGTAATTCAGGTTGGACTAGAGACCTCAAGAAGTCTCTCTCTCTCCCCCCAACTTCCAGCTTGAAGGACACTTTGAGAGAAGACCAGGTTGCTCAGGGCTTTATCAAGTCTGGTTTCAAGTCTCCAAGGCTGGAGACTGTACAGCTTCTCTGGGCAGCCTGTTCTGCTACTCAACTGTTGTTACAGTGAAAAAGGTTTTCCTGATATCTAGCTGGAGTAGCTCTTACTCCGGTATCCGCCTATTGGTTTTCATCCTTCTACTATAGACTGCTGTGAAGAGCCTGGCCCAATTTCTTTATTACTTTCTTGGAGGTATTGGAAGGCTACTATTGTCCCAAAACTGGGGGTTTGTTTACCAGGTTGCATTAGTCTTGGTTACATTTGATTTTGCTGTAATACTATTAAGTCCCCCCACAAAAGCGTTCCCTTCTCCAGGCTGAGCAAGCACAGTTCACTCTTGTTGATCAGTCTTTGCTTAGAGTTTCAATGAAGTGAATTTTTCTTGTCTCTAGGTTAGTATATGTTATACAGAATAATACAGAATTTGAATTTGTTGAAAAAAGTGACAAATAGCTAATTTATTCTTCTGTGGACTAACTTTAAAGTATTTGGGTTTTGTGCAAGTGGTTAACAAATTCAAACCTAAATTTTACTTTGGGTCTCATGTCACTGATACCTCATACAGCATGAGTAAATCCATTTTAAAGAGGGCCACAAGCTTATTTGGACTTGTTTTCCCAGAAATTAAAACAGCAAAAGTTTCTAAAAACTTGGAGGTTTTAAGTTGCTCTGCTTTGGTAGACTTGCAACTTTTTTAAAGTCACATTTGTCAAAGAAATTTTCTAGGGTTTACAGCACATTCATGGTAAAGTACTTTAATACAAAATAATTACTTGTTATTTGTATTCCTCTAATTGCTAGCCTTTTGGAAGAGGGGATTTTTTATTGACTTAAATAACATAGAATTGTGGTGGCTAGCCTTGGCTAATAGCCATATGCCTGCCCAGCTGCTGACCACCCATCCAGCAGGATTAGGAGGGAAAATAGGATGAGAAAGCTTATGGGTCAAGAGAAAGACACAGAGATTGCTTACTGGTTCTTGTCATGGCAGAATGTTCTTGACTTGGGGAAAATCAATTTGTTGCTGATTTAAAATAGATCCAGTTAATGCAAAACAAAAAGACAAGCACTAAAACAGCTTTCTTCATTTTTCAAGCTCAGCTTCACTCTTTTGCTGCAGGCCCCTCTACCTGCTGCTTGCTAGCCCCAAGCAGTGTGGGATGAGGAATGGGGGATTGCAGTCAGTCCAAAACACTTCATCTCTGCCACTCCTTCCTCCTCATACTTTTTCCCTGCTCCAGCGCAGGTCCTCTCCACAGGCGGTGATCCTCTGGGAGAAACCTGATGCAGTGTGGGTCCTCCATGGGACGTGGTTCCTTTAGGAAATGTCCCTCTGCCCTGGCATGGGATCCTCCGTGGACTCTAGTGTGGATATGTTCTCTCCCCTGGAACTGCTGCTCCTCCTTTTCTGGTCTTGGCATATCCTCTGTTGTTTCTCACTTTTTGTTCCCCCTTCCTCTGTCCCTGGGGTATTTTTTGCCCTTAAATAGATTTTCAGCGAGGTGCCACACATGTGGTGTCACCAAAATCTGTGAATAAACCTCGTAACACCAATGTAGTGTTAAAAGGCAGGCATTCTTTATTGCAGCGCTGGATGTACGGGGGATAGCTCCCCCCAACGTGCATGCCAGGTGATCACCAACACACAGGTTATGTAGGATCAAAACATACATATTCATCATCTTTCTCAGAAAAGGCAGTCCTATGATAATCATTTCTTAGAATCCATTTCCATAGTCTCCTCCCCGTCACGCATGCTCAGTGATTTGAGTCGGTGGTCCTCAAGGGTCTCTGGTGGTCATCAGTGGTCTTGCAACCGTGTCCGCTTGATGACCCCCTGTATGCAGGCATGCGCAGTATCCTTGCTGTGGATGCACCTGTCCGTAACGACTTCATAAGATTAATATCTCCAAACCTATTGTTCAGTTTGGTAGGGACTGTACATGGAACATAGCAGCATTGTACATTGCCATGGTCAGTTAGCTTCATTACGTATTACCTTGGTTACAAACTAATTATCTCAACCTGATTCTATAGTTTCTGTTTCACAGCCCCTATCCTACGGTTACAAGATGGCCAGAATAAAATTAATACAAAAGCATGTAATGTTATCTAAAGGTAATTGTAGTTACAGCTTTGCTTTCAACATTTTACTCTTGGCTGTTAAGATCTTGAGCTTGACTTTTATTTTTCCAGTGCAGTATATTTTTCAGTATGAGCCTCTTGAATGTATTTTAAGATGAACTTTTCTTAAACTGGATAAACAAGGAAAGGATTTAATGTCTAGTCTTTGGTCCATTGTTTTATTTGCAATAAAATCCTCGTGGTGATGCTTTTCTTTTTGTCTTTACTACAGCAACATTTGTCTATTCTTGTTTCCTTTGATCTTACTAATTGTTATTAATGAGCACACTTATTTTCTGAACATTAAATTTTACCTTAAGATTAACATGATTAGGTAGCTTATTTTGTTCACCTTTGACAATTGTAACTTAAATGTCTCATTAAATTTTACAGAGTTTTAATACAGTAATTTTTCTGCTGCGCAGTCAAACAGCTTCCCAATTTCTGCCTTATTTAATGTAGTTGCCAAGAGAAGCTGGCAGATTTGAAGAGTTGTCTTTTGACACATGTGAATTAACACTAATTTGCAGACTGAAGTACAGAAAGTGTGGGGATTTGGGGCAAGTGGGAGGAGGAGTTGTGTATTGGGCTTTTTTTGTTTTTCATTCCAAGTGTTCTGGTAAAGTTTCTATGCTTTCTCTCAATGACTTATACTCAAGTCATGCTTTATGCATCTTCAGGACTCTCCAGTTACTTTCAAAAAAGATAAACTTGCAAAATTTTGTGAAACGTGTTAGCAGTTATTGCCTCTTTGTGATAGTTTCAGAAAGGAAAAGCCTATGTTCACAATAAAGACAATATTATCTTCCTTTAAGTGCTGCTTTTTTTCCTAAGAATTTTCCCATGGAAAACCATACTACTTTATTTTATATCAGAACTGGTGCTTTACTTTTAAAACTTTCCTTTAGAGACTGGAAAATGGGTTCTAGAGTGAATGTTACCACCAAATTCCCAGTTGGTAAACTCAGACTTTCAGTGTTGCTTAAGGGTTTTCCACTGAATCTTTAAAGTTCAAATTGGGTTGCTGAATAGTTATATCTGCAAGAAGTAGTGTGTGGTGTCCAGTTGTCACTTGTAAGACTTAATTTTCTTCCACCTGAAGTAATTCTGAAAGGGGACTGAGAAACACCTTATGTATTACAGCTGAATTCTGCAAGAATTTCCGAAGTGTTTATAGCTTTTTCACTGAGAATATCTGCCAGTATGTAGAATTTGCAGAGGAAATATTAGACGTAATCTGATTCTGACATTACTCCTTTTTTATTCAAAATATACAATGATACAGACATCATCAGTGGCTCTAGTACAGTCACACACTTATTAAGGGAGAACGATGTTAGGTTGTTAGTCTCTGCATGGAGTTCACAAAATCATTCATGTTGATATCCTGTGCCAGGATCTGTCACATACTGTGACTCATTAGTATCTCACCACATTCAACAAGTTAACTTTTTTCCTGTCTTACTTTTCACCATTTGTTATCACTTCCCAAGCATCTGTGTCAAGGAGGTCAGTAAGATACGAAGTCTGACCCTCAATGAACCATGAATATCTATGCTTTAACTAGATACCAGTTTTTGCTTGCTGATCTAGTTTCTTCCACATGACTTAAAGAAATTATCCTCAAGGTAGATAGCTCCCCAAGCATTGTATTATATATGTGTGTATACAAGCAAATACAATGCATGCATGCAAATAAATTCAGAAAATCAGCAGCTTTGCAATTGTTACTTGGAAAAAAGCTATACTGGTCATTTGATTTATTGGCATGTTGACTATTATTAGTCAATTCATTCTCACTGCAAAAAAGCTTCATGTAATTTTACAGGAGATAGAGAAAAGGAGAAGAATTGAAGAAGCATACAAAAATGCTGTGACAGAACTGAAGAAAAAGTCCCACTTTGGAGGGCCGGACTATGAGGTACAAATTCTGCTTTTGACATTTTAAAAAATGCTATGACTTTTAAAGATTGGTTTGTTTCTCAAAGCAGGGAAAGGGATATGCAAATCAAGGCGTTTGGCTCATGCAAGTGTGTTCATGCCACTTCTATTTTTACACCGTGGAAACTGAAACTATGAAGAATCTCAGTCCTTAATTTTTGAGAATGGGAGTCTCTCTTCACCATGCTCTGCTTTTGTCTAAAGCATTTTGCTTACAGATATTTCTGCTGATTTTTATTATTGTACATTTGATACTGCTTATGTGTAATAGTTTTGTACTTTCTCTTTTTAATGGTTCAGCTATATAGATATGTAGAGCAAATATGAAAACCCTGACTGCAGAGGCAGTCCTAGAATCTGAAGTTTAACCTGAATTGATTTTTAACTTGTCACTGCCTCTTGAAATTTCATGTTGACAAATCTAGTGATTTTAGGCTCCTTTCATGTTAAATTGCATATTTCAGCAGCTTCCTCCTCAGTGTGATAGTCAAATTCTAAGATGCTTAAACCACCCTCTGAAGAATAATGTAAACTAATATACCTATAATGCATTTTTTAAGAACTTGACCCTTTCATGTACATTAGTCAAGCACGTTTCTACTTACAAATCATGAGATTTAGTAAGAAATAGCCTGAGAAATAGTAGTAGTATGTTGAGACATTTAAAAGATGATTGAGCTTAGGTCCTCTCTTGTGACTGAGGCATACACTGTAAAAGAGAAAGATGAATAGGAAGTTAGACTTTGTCTACCTGGTTATGAATCCAGCTGCTTCTCCCAGATATCCCTGTTGTAAAGTAGTTTTTTGAAATTTGCTGGACCAGCTTGTTTTACAATACAGTAAATGAAGTAAACTTAATTTTCTGAAATTACCATTTTACTTAGTAGACTCAAGATTTTAATAGTTGACTCAACTCTACCTGCTGTTTAGTATTAAACTGTGCTTTCCAGGAATTTTCAATAGAGATCCCCAGAATTTTGTCTTCTCATGTTATGTTTTGAGGACATATCTGAACCTGCCCTAAGGCACTGGAGTACTTGGAAGGAGTGTAACTACACAATTATGTTAATATGTGTACTTTACTGACACTGTATACATTTTTAAGAGAAGATATGTATTAGTTAAAACCTAAATCTGGTGTCACAGTGTATTGAGACTGTTACTCAGTTTCCTGGTTTTTTTCTTCTTTATACAACTATACCTAAATTGTAGTTGGAGGTTGTAACTTCCATTAAGAAGTAGAGTTTTCAGAGGAATTGTAGTCTAAGAATATTGGTGAAAATATTTGAGGTCTATAGAAGAAATTTGCTTCCATCAGTTATAAGCATAATATATAAATATATATTTCTAATATTAAACTTAAGTGAAACTCTCACGTCTCCGAAATGTTGAACTAGTTTTGGTTTTTATGCTCTAGGAGGGTCCTAATAGTCTGATTAATGAAGAAGAATTCTTTGATGCTGTTGAAGCTGCTCTCGATAGGCAAGATAAAATGGAAGAACAGGTATTGATATTTGAAAAATGCCTTCATGATGGGCACTTCATGGGAGACTTCTGTGACTTAAACTCAGTTCTGGGGTGCATCTCCTGAGTATTTTATTCTGCCACTGATAAGGGGAGGTCACGATATTTTTACAGTTAAATATTGTTGCTTAACACTAATTTTGAGAAAGTGACTTCACAGCTTACATAGAAAAGGATAGTATAAGTGTTAAGCTAATTGAGTATCTCTAGTTTCTGTTTCCTAACTAAGTGTCCTGTATAAAACTTATCTTTGTATGTAACTGATGCCCTGTGCAAATAAGAACTTCATACACTGCAGCTATTTATCAAAACCTTATTATTGATCTGAAGTTTCTTTTGACTCTGGCAGTATGTGAAATAGGAAGGACAGAGTTCTGCTGGTGGTTGTTTTTATTTTAAAATCCTGTAGGCTCTAGCTACTTCTCAAACTTATTTCTTGAGTACACTTCAACGACAAGGATCAAAAAGGGACAAGGTGCATGTGCGGAAATGTATAGAATATGAAAACATATAACAGTATATAAAATGAGAGGGAATAATAGTGGTGCATCCTTTGTCTTAAAGTGTTTAGGCTTTTGAATGTAGTGAATACAATGACTTGGTTAAGAATGGAAAGACTTTCTAGTTGGGTGTACAGTACCCAGCAGAATTTACCTATGTTGGAACCTCTTAGTGGAGAGTAAAAGTTTTGAGTGGCTGTTGTACAACTACATGGATCCTTAATGCTGCCGGTCTATTTTTCTTAACTCAGAAATACACCTTGAAGTATAGACAAATTCAGTCTCCAGGCCCATTCACTAACAGAGAATTCCAGCAGGATGACAGCTTCCTGCCTGTCATGGACAGCATTAGTTGTTGTAGTCACTATGTAGACTGAGGATGACTCACTCTGTTTCATAGTCCACCCAGTAGCAGCTGACTACTACTAATTAAACCTGTTTTGTTGCAGTCCCAAAGTGAAAAGGTCAGATTACACTGGCCAACATCCTTACCTTCTGGAGATGCATATTCTGCTGTGGGGACTCATCGATTTGTCCAAAAAGTAAGATATTTCTCATGATCTCTTCCGTTTAATGGACTGATCTATGATAGTTCTACATAATATTTTGTATGGGTAGGTGAGATTTTTCTGGGGGGTGTTTCTAGTAACTTTCGATGGTTTACTCATTTCCAAATGAAGTAGCTGGAATTGGAGAAGGACTGTTTTCTGTCTTGGCTCAAAACATACTGATTTGAGTACCTATTTAGAATACTCTTGACTTGTATCAACCTTGTCAGCAGTGTTTTCATGATACCTTCACCAAAATTCATTGAACTGACTTTGTAAAGAAAAAAACCCAGCAAAACCAGTCTTTTGTATTGGATGAGTTGACTTTTTTTTTAGTGTTACTGGAAACACTATGCTCCTCTCAGGGCTACAGTGGGAGCATAATACATAATAGGTGCATGAAATCAGCATTCGCTGCTGTGCTTGCTGCTTATGGTGCTTTTGTTTTCCTTTTCTTCATTATCTTGTGCTTGCAAGTTGGTACTGAATGCTCTGTTGTGCCTGTGTTCTGATTACTTGGTTTTTTCTTTGTCTGTCTCTGGTAGCCCTATAGTCGCTCTTCCTCCATGTCTTCCATTGATCTAGTCAGTGCCTCTGACGATGTTCACAGATTCAGCGCCCAGGTACTGTATTAACGTGTAGAGTGGGGGTTGCATTTCTTTGCTGTATTTCATCCTCTTCTCTAGAACCTGGGTTTTTTGTTACATAAGTCACTGCTTGCTTTAAACTAGTACGTTGAGACAAACAGAAGAGTTCTCTATTCCTGTACTAAATGGTTGTCTTTTTACATTACGCTTGCTTTGCATATCACTTGTGCAGATGCCCAAATCTTGTGAAACTGTTGGATTTAATTCAGAAGCTTTAATAGAAATGCCTACAATTTGAAAGTTTTGCATTTCTGATTATAATAAAAGTAGAATTACACCTGGTTTGTGAGGGCTGGGAATGGTCTTTGCTTCAAATTGAGAAGCTTTTCTTGCTTTTAAATCAAAGGTTTGATTTTTGTCTTTAACATTTGTTCATAATGGCTTTAAGATACTAAATGTTAAGGTTCCCTATTACCATTTTTTACCTCTACAACTAGTTTTATTACTGAAAGATCATAAACTGTGTTGTTGACAAACAAGATTGTGGGTATGAGAATTTTTATGGAAGAGTTTCAATATATCCACTTACCCTTCAGAAAGTAAGTCTGATGTCCTGAACATGTCAATGTAGTCATAGTGGCATATTCCAGTACAATGGAATGTACAAAATTACTCTAGGTGCTTGCTCTGAAGGTTGTATTTCAGAGCAGGATTAGATAGATGACTTGAGGTGTTTGCTCTTGTGTCTCAAAAAAGTTGTGCAGACATGGCATTCATGGCATTAATTTCTTTCTGCTGGGCTCCATATGTGATTGTGAATATGGAGCTTCGTTCTGGGATCTGATATTGGAGGTTTTTTGAAATTATTAACTAACACTGCAGACAACCTGCTCTTTCAAATAGAAGGAATGGATTTTTTGATTAACAGAGCCTGGAATTGTACCACCTGCAGACCTTACTACCAGCTTTGTGAGCAGGACCCTAACATTTAAGGACTTGCTTATTGGACTGAAATCGCGACACTTTCCTTGACCTTTTACAGTCAGTTTATCTCTGAAATTTGAACTTATCACAAGGGGAAAAAGTATGCAGGTCATATCGCACAACACTGACAGGATCATCTCCAGCAGTCAAATTAATTTTTCAAGCTTGTTTTTGTTTGGGAGGAGGGGGAATATGAAGTAGCAGAAAGCAAGTTTGATTCCAAAGATAGGAGCTAGTTGTCTGAGGCTATGGCTACATGGGCAGTTCAGTAGAAGGGAAACTCAGAGCTGCTAAAATATGCAGGCCTCCTCATTTTCACCTCTTTTATGCCTGTGGTAACATTTATGCATTCATGTGATAAACCTGAGTATCAGAGCACTAGTGTGGCTGAAAAACTAGCCATTTAGAAACAAATCTGAGGTGGACCAGGTCCTTATCACAATGAAGCAAATTGAGGATAAGGATCAAAATCAAATGGACTTGGAGTCAAGCTGTTCCTTTTTTCAGCTGCTGCATGCATTATACTGTGTAGTAGTTACTACTGAATGCAGTTTTGAGTTAATGAACTCACTGCAGAAATGATGATCCTGAACTTACAGGAAACTACTCCCCCACCCTCCCAATTATTTTTCCTGGAACAAATTTTTGCCAGATCAACAAGTCAGTCCACCTGCACTGGAGCATCATTGCTACTGAACAAGCAGGTGAAAGACAACTGAGAGCATGAAGAGAAAAGCAGAACACCTTTTGGTGGCAACCGAGTTGGTTATTAATAGGAAAGTGGCCTCTGTCCCCAGGCTGAGGGTTTGACTTTTGGAAAGGCAAGCTACTATCTTGATTCTGAATAGATGTGACTTGTTTCTAGACTTCATTAATATGAAGGGAATTGTGATATCAGTAAAAGGTCAAGTAGAAACTTACAGCCTTGTTTTCAAGATTGAGAAGTATAGACGTATTCTGATGGGAGTTGGTTTTACAGTGTGCCTCTAGAAAAGCATTGATTTACCTTCTGCCAGTTGATTGGCAGGTTGATGGCTTAAAAGGCTGTAGATGTTTTGTAGATCACTTTATTTTGAAGGACTACGAGATTTAAAATAGATTGAACTGTTCTGAGGGCCTTGAAAGTGAAGAACTTGCCACTTCATATTCAGGCCAAGGCTGCATGGTGTACAGGTTACAAGTATTTTTGCAGACCATGCCTGTAGCCTGGCCAGGAACCCAGAGGTAATCGTGTGGCCTCCCCAGTGGGAAAGAAGCTGTGAATCTTGATTCTGTGGCTCTGAAATAGGTGCAGATTGACAGACAGCAACCAGTGCCTAGATTATATATATACAGTTTGGAGAGGTAGTATGTGCAAGGCTGTTGTAGGTACTGCAATTCCTTGGTGAAGCAGAAGTAAGAAAACTGTTTAGGTTGTACTCCTGTGGATGCCTCCTCCTCTTCTTTCCTTGCTATTCCCCTCATCCCTCTGCATTTAGCAAAAAGCAGCAAAAGACAAAACAAACATAGAAAAGCTAGCTTTGTCCTGAATAGGTGAGGAACTAGGGGAGAAGAGGCATAAGGACCTGAAGGTGTTGCAGGTAAATGTTGGGAGCGTGGTCAGGATTCCTTTCTGAAAGAAGCATAACCTAGAGCTAGTAAACTGAATCTTTAAATAGCCCACATTCTTACCTGGTTTGGATTGTACTGTCATTGTTTCACTGGAAAAAAATAAATGCACAGCTACAGGCTGGGCAGGGAATGGATT